TCTTTGGCAAGACTTGTAATCTCTTTGTTGAGTAAAAACATAGAGTCTGTTGGGCGATTAAAAGCTACAACATGAAGTTAGAAGAAGCTGGAGAGCTTAGGAAGTTATAGCTGCAAGAGCTCAAAGAAATTAGAAATGATGCTTATGAAAACTCAAGAATTCATAAAGAAAAGATGAAGGCTTTTCATGACCAAATAATCTTTAGAAAAAAATTCTCAATAGGGTAGAAAGTCTTGCTTTACAGCTCTCGTATTAAGCTATTTCCGGGGCAGTTACGTTCAAGGTGATTAGGCTTGTTCATTATTACCAAAACATTCCCTCATGGTGCAGATAAGATCAAAAGCCTGGCCACGCACAAAATCTTCAAAGTAAATGGGCATCGGTTGAAGCTCTTCTATGAAGGGTTCTCTGTGCAACAGGTTGAAGAACTCACCCTAAACATTCCTAAAGAAAGTGTATAACAGAAACATGTAGTTTTATAACTTCCTAAGATGCTTAATAGGAGGCAACCCATTTAGTTTTTATTCTTTTTATTGAGAATTTTATTTATTTTAGTTGTTAGTAGTTTTGTTCTAATTATTCTAACTGAAATTTGTTACCCATCACTTGCAGATCACCAATAGAGAGACCACGTATAGACCCACTGAGTTTTCAAACTAAAGTGATTGCCTAAGATTTACATCGACCACTCTAGCCTTTCCCAAGGGTCATGCCAACTACTAACATTTTTCCCAAGGCTTATGTCATAACGATATCAGGAGTTTAATTTGGAGTACTCGCATAAGTCTTGCCTATGGTTTATGCTAGAGCTATATCTTGGGTTTGATTTTGGATGTTCACATAAAACTTGCCCAAAGTTTATACCAAGACCATATAATTCCAAAAAAAAAAAAGTCTTAGAACTTCTGCCTAAGCTTAGCCCAAGACTTACGCTAAGGTTATCTGGCACCTATTTCAGTTTAACCTCAACTCCTTGCCTTAACTTTTAACTTCCAAACACCAAGCCAAAATGAGAAAGAAGGAATCTGTAAAGAGACACGGCCGATTTAAAAACAAATGATAAACCGCTGATGAGACAAAGACGCAGACACGACTACCTCCAGCGACACCCGAACCCCAAGTTCCACAAGAGGAACAAGCTCTACCCGACGGTGCGAGCAGCTCCAGATGCCAATCAACAACACCGTAGCCCTGTATTCGACGTTCCTGACTCTCCAACTAGGGAGCAAAGCACACAAAACCTTGAAATGAGTTGTGACAGCAAACAACCAGGTACACACCAACCTACGGTCGAAGAGCCTGCTAGCAAAGATGCCAAAGCCAAGCGAGCTCGAAAGAGAACATGGGTCAGAAGGGGGAAGCATGTCCTCTCACTGGCTGAATCCGGGTTGCGCGGCCACCTCACTTTCTAAGACGCTTCGGAGAAGGAATGGTATGTGGAAGTCTGTAAACTCCCCATCGTAAGAGGTAAGTCTGCCCATCACCCTACTCTCGAAACCCAAAAAATTAGACATGGGTACTTATGCTGATTCGTAACATTGGCTGGGAAGCCTACTTCGAGGTTGACGTACGCGTATATGTAGAACTAATTAGGGATTTTTACATGACCTTCAAGTTTCAGAAATCAGTTGATTCCACCCTTCGTACACCTAATCTAGTTTCTTTCCATTTGTTGGGCAAACACTTTAACTATTCCATAGTTGAGTTCAATACTGCAATGGGTTTTTCTGTATTCGATCGTGAAAATCCCTACTGTGATTTTTGCGATGACTTTGATTTTGCCACCGAGTATGCCCAATTTTGCAATAATCCACTGGACTCATTTGACCCTAATAAATCTAAGGACCTATATTTGCACGACCCATGCATGAAATACATTTATAACTTCGTAGCTTACTTTTTTTCAGGTCAAAAAGATGCACCCAGTATCCTCTCCAAAACCGAGCTATACTTCCTATAGTGCATGCTTAACAAGAAAAGAGTCAACCTCGATTTTTGGTTCACATGCTAGTTTTCCAATGTTATTTCCTTTAAACGGCCACTAATCCTAGGATCAATCATTCCCCGAATTGCCCTCTCTTTCAGTAACTTTGATATGGAGGAGATTGACTTGCACATAGCTTGCCCTTAAACTGCCTTGGATTTTGGGCTCCTTGGATGACATGAGACTGCTACATCTTAAGGATGACATCTAATTCTTTGCCTCGCCTGGCCCACTTGTGCCCAGAAACATGTGAGTGTACAATAAAAAGAAAAAGCAAACAGAGCCTGATGCCCCAGAATTTACTGCCACAACACCTTCTGCCACCAAACCTGCATTAGCGGACATCCACCAGCTCCTACAAAGAGTATTGTTGCATGTTCAAAAGATAGATGGATGCCTGTTTCACCTCAAGAATTTGGCCCACCAACTTTCGGGAAGGGTTGAGGAGCTAGTCTATTCAATAGCCCAAACGATGAAGGACGCCCCTTGCCCCAGAACCAGATGATGCTTCCAGTGTGCCCTGTCTCCGAGTTACCACACAAGGGGAGTTAATCTATCCCTTCATTTTTCTTTTACCACTCGTTTTCTTTGCATCGCATTGAAGACAATGTGTAGTTTAAGTGTGGGAGAGGGATATACTGCATTTTTAGTTCCATTTTGATATTCGGCTACATTATCTTTGTTGCATTCAAACCTTTCTCACGACACCCACTGATGCACACTTTAGCCTTGCCCAAGGCACACCACTAAAAACAGTTTTTCAATAGTTTTTCACCCCATCCTTTTCACTACTGTCTTAGTTATTCCTAAAATAACTCAACTGTGATACTTAAAGAATTGAATTGCATTCACAATAATCTTCTAGGACTTTTAACTTGTTGCATTCATACATTATCTTTGATTATGTGTCTTGATATGCCTTTTTTAGGAATTGCCTCTAATTGATTTTTTTTCTTACTCTTAATTGAATGTTGATACTTAAGAAAACTCTATTACAACCTGTCTTGATTTGTATGCGTAATAATCTTAAGGTTCATGACTAAAAGATTCAAAAAAAGGGGGGGAGAGCACAAATAATAATCTAGTCCTTTAGTCAATTAATTATGAATAGTGCTAGTAGCCACTTGAACTTGTGACCAACTGAGAAACTGAGTACATTCATCACAAATGTTTGTTCTCGTATCAAAAGGTTAATGACATTTCAAGCACACAATAAAAGTTCTCGATTAATTGCAATTAAATTTTCTATTCTACCATGAACCAATTGCATGAAATACTTATATTTGAACTAGTATAGTGTGAATGTTATACTAGATGTTGATTGTTCTTCTCAAGAAAAAATAAATGTGTTCAAAAACTTACAAAACATTTCCATTTTATGCTCGGGTACTATCTAGAGTTATTTAGTGGTGTGATTCTATGAAATGCAAGTTTAGAAATTACTAGTTGATGACTGTATTTATAATTTAAGGATTGAGATATAACATACGAGTTGAGGGAATAGCTAGGGACAATTGGCTTGAGGGTGAAAGGTTAAGAACTATTGAATGGTATTGTGGGGTACTTGAGGGCAAGCACAAGATAAGTGTGGGGAAGTTTGATAGTACGTATAAAAACATTTTTATCATTTATTTTGAATACATGATTGAGCTATTTATTACCTAATTAGGTGATTTTATTTGTTTTGATGAGGGATAAAAGTCAAATTCAGGAAAGCAGCGTAGTAGAAATAGATTTGCATAGAAATAGTCATCAACCTAGTATAAGCCTCAGGCAATGCTTAAGCCCTAACATGAACAGCAGATGTTAGTTTGAGAACAATCAAGCCTCGGGCAAGGCTTGCACTCTTGTGTTAGTAAAAAGCACCAGTTCACACGCAGATAACCTTATGGCAAAGCTAACACCCTAGCAGCAGTAATAAATATCAGATCATGCACAAACAAGCCTCGGGCAAGATTTAGACCCTGCAGTAGTAGTAGATACTGATATCCCAGACACTTTAAAATTTAAAAAGATCATGTTTTTATCTGGAAGCAAAAAACCTAATCAAGCAAAAGACGACTTTGAAAAGCAGAAAGAAAGCCGAAATCATCATGAAAAATCCAGTCTCCACAAGAGGAAACCATGATGCTCTCGGTCTTTAAATAGGAAGAAAAAGAGAAAAAAGAGGAGCTACCAAGAAGAACAACAGACTTTGGTTTTTCGAATTATTTTTTCTATCTATAATCACTGAAACAATTTTTTCAATTAGAAATTTAGTTGAAGTTCTAGTTTTGAATTGTGAGATCTAAATAATTTTTTGTTCTTATTTAAACTTTAGTATTTATATATCTTTTTGCACATATTATTATTATTATTTGTTGATCGTTTGATAGGGCCCATTGAACGTGCAGCATAGTAGCATACTGCCATTCAAAATCCTAAATCTGTAATTGTTTAGGTTGTCTTGATGATTAGTGGTGAATTAGTTTCCTATGTAATATAGTTTGAATGAATCATGCGGTTGAATTCATTAATTAGAATCATGTCTTTCTAACTTTTAATGTTGTTAGTAAATTAAACTTTATGTGCGTTTTTAGGGTTGTTTATTTAAAAAGATTAACTAACGAGTCTCTTGATTAGTGTAGAATTAAGAAAATATTAATTGTTATGAGCGTATCCGACAACTAGAACTGGTTTATTGAAGTTTGATGAAAACAATTAGTGCATCAATGATCAATCCTACAACTAGAATCAAAACTACTTCTTTAACTAGAATCCACTCATAGTTGTTTGTTACTTCAATCACTTGTTGATAACATTTTCTATTTTTTGTTTTAAGTTTATTTGATTTATTTTAATTCTTTGTATTGTCTTGGAACAAAAACCCTAGCTTTGTTTTTATCATTGGTCATAAAAGAAAAGTGGTTCTCAATTTCCTGAGGATTCGACCTTATTCGCGATTAATACAAAATTTGAATTGTTGTCAGAATATGATATTATTTTTGGTGGATTTGATACCCATCAAAAGAAAAACCAAGCAAAAGAGAAGGAAATAAAGAAGAAAGCTATGGCCAAAGGAGGCCACACCCGATGGGCTTAGATAGTAACTAAGAACATCCCTGGATTCTACAAAAATTTTAAGAAGAAAAACTTACGAATTAAGTTGGGACTCTGCTAGAATTAAAGTTTCATATTATCTTTAAAAAAAATGATTAAAATTAATGGGAGACTTTGCTTGATTGAAAAGTGAAAATGAAGTGTTCTTAAGGGGAGACTCAACCCGAAGAAACAGAGAATTTCAGAGATTATATAAAGGGGGACTCTACCTAAACCGACATTTGAGTTAAAAAGACACAAGGAAAGGTTTGATTAGGATCTTAGGTACATGGATATTCTGACATTCGTGGCATGTGTATTTTTGAAGTATTTTAAGTATTTTTTGTATAGTTAATTGTGAAAGTGTTCTTACATGCTTTTGTATTAATGATGTGTTCATTTAATTTGATATGAGTATTATATGTTTATTTGTTTCAAACATAAGTGTTATATGATTTAGAAAAGTGTTTTCGATATGTGTGCATCAATGATTGAGGAGGCGAGTAATTATGTTCCACCTCTGTCATGCTAGGCCTCAGTGTGAGCTGAATGCCCTATCATCCCATGTTTGGGGGGCGGGGGTACTAGTCTTACAGTGTGCCCACACCTGTCGTTCTGTGTTCAGGGGTGTTGGAAAGTGATAAGTGCCACACATGTTGTTCAATGTTCTTGTATGTTGGGAAGTGATAAGTGAGTCCACATATGTCATTTTATGTTTGGGGGTGTTGAGAAGTGATAAGTGCCCATACATATCATTCCACATTCAAGTGTGTTAGGAAGTGATAAGTGAGCCCCACCTGTCGTTCTGTGTTCGAGAGTGTTAGAAAGTGATAAACTAATGTGATATTGGATGAGAATAACTCCTATGACAAATGGAAAAGTCACTTAAGAGGCTATTTCTGTAATCCTAGCAGTTGCAGATATGCAGCGATAAGAGGCCGTAAGCTCTCACTAAGTAATATGCCTCAAGAGCACACTAAGAAGTTTCCACGAATGGAGATTGACGGTGAAGAATCTCACCAAGTCCACACAACAAAAGGAAGTAACTTCGGGTATGCTTTGTTTCCTAAAATGAATAATACTAAACAGGAAAGTCGACACACCCCTCAATACATTTCTAAATGGGCATAATATCAAGAGAAGCCCAACATAATGCGAGAATGTGGACTTGAGGACCAAATAGAGCCTATAGGCTTGAGAACTCGCTTGGAGGGAGATGGCCAAACATTGGTCTAAATCTAAAAAAAACCATGGGCTTGCGGCTATAAACATGCACGACCCATATAAGCCACACCAAATGAGGGTGGGCCGGGCCACTCCATGCTCTTGGGCAGTTTCGGCAATCATACAAGAAAGGTCGTCTGTGAATAGTAAGTCTTTAGCACACGCAGGAACACAACGTGTATGGGAGAGCTAGAACGTAGGTGCGGATGCTGTCGCACGCCCACTTATGCGAACTGGGCAACTCGCATGCATGGGAGACACACATAGAAACCACACACAGGAGAAGCACACGCACTAGGTTGTGTGTATTGAACACCACACACGTAAGTAACATGTATGCTAGATTCCAGCCCGTGTGGGTGAGGCATACGGGTGAGGAAGTGTAACCTGTGAGGACTATTCTCCTTTTTGCCTATTTTTCACATGTTTTTTACGCTGATTTTTCCAAAGAAGACTCTTTTGTAAATTGAAGTCTACATGAAGAATTAAAACACATAAAAATTATGGTAAAAGGGAGAGGAATTTCTATTTAATATTTTATTTATTTTTAATTATTATTTTAATGTTAGATTTTATCCTTAAGAATATTTTAATATTATTTTGGGTTTAGAATTTAGATAAGTCTAAATGGTGGATATAATGCAAGTGATTGTAATTAATTAGAACTACTTCAGTGGAAGCCTATATAAAGGTTTCACCTTAAGTTGTAATTCACATAGTTCAATTGAGTGATAAATAAAATTTTGGCTTTTGTTACTAAATTAGCTTTTGTTAATTTTTGAGCATTCTCCAAGGAAAGTTGATTCAACCATCTTGTTGAGTCAAGAAATCTTGAATCGACTTATCGAGTAAGTCATTACGTCTTTTCAATTCTTTTTTTATTTTCCAAGTACCTTGATAGCATTCACTTTATTGGGTGTGATTCAAGTAGGAAAGGTTTAATTTAGGTAACTGAGTTTCTGCATGTTACGTATAGTGAGTTCATGATCAAGGTGTTTTGATCCTAAAGCTTTCCACGTCATAAGTTTCCACACATTGTTTCGTGTTCAAGTGTGTTGGGAAGTGGTAAGTGAGCCCACATATATCGTTTTGTGTTTAGAGTGTTGGGAAGTGATAAGTGCCCATACATGTCGTTATGTGTTTAGGTGTATTGGGAAAACAATAAATGTGTGTCTACATTTATCATTCTGTATTTGAGTATATTGGAGAAGTGATACGCACATATTAATGATGTGGTTTCGATTCACCCTCATGGATAATGATGTGGCCCATTGTAAAATGCAGAGCTATGATTCTGATTTTATATATGTGATTTCCAAAAATGTATAAGATATATGTTTTGATGTGTAAAAAAGTTATATATTGCATATATTAATTGTGTGCATGTCATGATATTTGCTTACTGAGATAATATATTTCATTCCCCCATCATTTTTCAGATAATGAAGATTCTATTGCAGGATAGTAAGTGATATAGAAGAGGAATTGTGAAGTTAATCTCAAGAATCAAGATTACCATACTATTGTATTTTATGATATAAGAAAAAAAAATTCAAAGCCTCGTTTTGTATGTATTTGATGTACATATCAAGGAATATATTACTTATGCGCTTTTATATTAATGAAAGTTAAGTATTTTATCTAATTAAGTGTAAGTGTAAGTGTCAGTGTGATCCGGACAAGCTTTATAAGAGAGGGGTGGCTTTGACAATAATATTATTTCAAGAACATGTACCTCTAATAATTATAAGATGCTGACTGAACCCAAATCAAATTAATATAACTTAATAAAAAATTATTTCATAAGAAGAATGCAGGGTTTCAAAGAATTGCACAAGTTACTTAAGGACAATAATTAAAAATAGTAATTATAAATTTTCAAAGGTCAACTAAAATCAATGTAACTCAATTTATAATGAATTCTTTAAAAGAAAGAGTAAAGGGAAAGAGAGAACATCCACAATTTATAGAGATTCAACCAATGTACCCATGTTCTCTTCTCAAGTCACCACTTGAGTATTTCACTATTAATTTTTGTTTATCAAGGTGCATAGCTTCACCTCTTATAACGTTTGTTATTCTTGGTGTAAATTTCACCCTTTACATGTATTTCCCTTAATAGCCAACACTTAAGGAGCATGTACACCTCTTTTTTACAATATATTCAAGCATGATACAGGATGATATTTTAAATATTTCCCTCAATGAATGATTACAACAATGAACCATGATTATTTTTCTTAAGGAACAAATTATAAGACGAAGCACAAAGGAGATTTTGAAAATTGGCTTAAGAAGATGAGTATAATTTAACTTTTTAATTATCTTTCTCGAAATCAGTGGACTAATTGATATTT